CAGGAAAACAGAAATTTAAAGAAGGTGAGGTACATCCGTCCGACCTGGCGCTCACTATAATTTTTACGCTACGTGGGTGTCCAAGACTCTCGTAGCCTGTACTGAGGTTTGCTATCAGTTTTTTTTATTGTTTTGAGTTGGTATCAGGAACATGCTGCTGCCCATTTCCTAATTCAGTTTCCCTCTGTCGCCTCTTACGACATCCATGGGAGGATATGCGGTAGTGGATATTCTCACAGCGCCACTACACGGTAAACCGTGAAAAACCCTACTACCATCTAACTGCCTCGTCTTCGAATTGGTCATCATAAACACGGTTGCTGATCATGAGGTCTTTGGTTCGAATCCGAGTCGTTCTAAAATCAGTTATTGGGTGTTTCAGCTTCATGCCTCGAAAAGCACGTAAATTCGTTGGTCCTGCGTTTGATCTCTCGTGTCCAGTCTTGTCGGAGAACCCTTCCATCGGACTATGTCGTGTCGGATAACCGTTCCATCGGACTATATAATCACTTTTATTGACTTCGTTATAAATTCTTCACCACGTGCCCTTTATCAATATTTTTATAAGATAGGGTGACACACGAGCACACAGTCCACCTGTAAGTGGTTGCTGAGGCCCAAAGACATCTACATATATCCTCTATTACGAATCAAAATGCAGATGCGTTGCCAGCCGTGAGGACTAAGATAGAATGCCTCTTTTCCAGTAAAAAGGGTCTCCGGTTCTCTACACTCACCATACGAAACACAGCAGCATTAAGCTGCTATTTTACGCTGGTATTCTGTGAGAGCGTGGTACTTTCCCGGTGGAGCCGACCCATTCGTGCTACAACTATACTACTAATATAGCTGCAGCATATAAAAGGGGAAAAACATACACCATCAGACTGTAGATTTAAAAAGATCTATTCTATCACAAAAATTCAAAAAACTATACGGATATATGGACTTGCCGTATAAAAGAATTAAGGAGAGTTAAGGCCCCAAAGAGCCGATTTCCTTCAAATATTATATCTTGTTATTTCTTTTGAACTAGGATTCAAAGCACAACAAAGATCAATATCAATAAATCTTGAGAAGATTTATTGATATTGATCGTATCGTTTCGTAAGGAAATCAGAATAATATTAAAGTTTTATATTGGTAACTTGTGATATGGAAAAGAAAACTGAAAAGAATAAAATAATTTCTATTCTCAAATCGATGCTAAGATAAATTCGTACATAATAATGATCCCCAATTTAGAATTATTCCTTTTAAATGAAGAAAAAGTTTTTAATAGGACTTATGAATACCACAATCACTATGTTGTCTAGTTTCATTAAACATTCATCCCTATTGTACCACTGAAATATACTTATTTAATAAAAAAAAAACATCAAAATAGTTTTATGATTAACAAAGATATATTGCGTATCATATATAAAAAAATAACATACATTCAAATTTGGAACCTCCTCCCTAATTTTGAAGTCTGCTAAGAAAAGGAAAGAATTAAGGAGAGTTAAGGTCCCAAAACATAGAGCAACACGGGTAGCCGTTGGCCTGTGTTTAGGTACTCTATGCCCCAAAAGCACTTCAAACCATTTATGAAACGATTTAGCAAGAGCACATTCCGCCAGTGAATCAAGTTTCCGCCAAAACTCCTAGTTCATTTATGGTTGGCTTTTATTTTTCATAAAAGATTTTTTAGTATCCTTTTGGGATGATATACGTGGAAACCGGCCCCCCCATCCTTTCACATTGTTATGAATAGGGTTATACTTTCTCATAACTACTAAGGCAACAACAAGTCGAAGGATATAAAACGAAGACGTAGTTTTTCGCAAAAATTCCTTATAATTCCCAAGAAGACCAGGACACTCTAGTATTTCTAAGTAAAATGTGATCCACCGTAACTTTGAAAAATCTAATTAGCTCCCTAGTTTGTCAAAAAAGGCCGTTACTATATGGAAGATTAGCACTTCAAACCATTATTGAAACGATTAAACAAGAGCAACATTCCTGCAGCGATGAAGTTTCCGCCAAAACTCTTAGTTCTTTAAAGTTGGCTTTTACTTTTCATTATCAGATATTTTTTTTTTAGAATAAGTTGTTGTTTTAAATAGTTGGTCTTACATCAAACTCGTCCTCCATTCACAATATCACCACTAAAAAAGGGTTGTTATACTTTCTCATAACTACTAAGGCAACAACAAGTCGAAGGATATGACGAAGACGTGGGTTTTTCCCAAACATTCCTTATAATTCCCAAGAAGACCAGGAGACTTGAAGTAAAATGTGGTTCACCGTAACTTAGATAAATCTAATTCGCTCCCTAGTATGTCAAAAAAAGGCCGTTAGCACCGTTACTGCGTACTGTCGTATATGTCGTTTTGCTGTATGGAAGAATTAAGGAAAGTTAGGCCCAAAAAGCACTTCAAACCATTATGGAAACGATTAAACAACAAGAGAAACATTCCGCCAGCGATCAAGTTTCCGCCAAAATTCCTTTTTATCTTTGAAGTTGTGGCTTTTATTATTTTAGTATACCCCTTTTTATTGGTTGGTCCATAGGGGGAACCCGCTCTTCACATTACCGCTATAAGAAGGGTAGGTACTTTCTCATAATTACTAAGGCAACAACAACAAGTCGAACGGTATGTCGTAGACGTGTTTCCCAAACATTCCTTTTAATTCCCAAGAAGACTAGGAGATTAGAAGTAAATTGTGGTACATTGTGGTAACTTTAATAAATCGAACACGATGGGGAGTACATACGTCAAAGAAAAATGGTTTAAGTACTACATATGCCGCTCGCACCCGCTGCGGTTCTTCGCGAAAGTATGGTTCTCAGCTGGTCGATTTTTTTTCTAAATTCGTGCTATCTTCAGTTCTTTGGTAATAATGACACGGTCTATACAATAAAACAAAATAAAAATGTTTTCTCATCTAAATTCATTATAACAAACATCTTTGATACAAGAAATAAGGTATATTTTAAGAATAAAACATCTTTCCGGATGTTATTGTGTTTCTCTACAAGTTGAGTTTACAAGTTTTGATATATGATACTATTGAAATACACATGTCTTTCATATATTTAGGTCACTAAATCTTGTATGAATTAAAAAGACTGACTCAATTCAAGTATGGATTATTTTTAAAAAAATGGTAGAACTACTTGAAAATAGATTTTTCAAGTAGTTCCTTTTAGTCTTAAACTTAGAATGGAATTTTGTCATACAAAAACAAAAAAGAACCAGCATATCACTTACGGAAGTGACGGTTAGTGGCAAGATAGCCGGTTCAAGCATTTTTCCCAAAAAAATGAGTATGGAAAACACACAGAACTAACTGCAATTAAAAAAAGACTATACGTCATGATGCTTTCCGCAACAATTAAACGCGAAAACACAAAAGGGGGCAAAACCAAAAAGTGCTACTGCCGCTGAATAAGTGCTGAACGGGGCGATTTTCGACTAACGATGTCTTCAAAATCTTGTCCTTTGCCAATTGTGAACCGATTTTGACTTCAGAATGTGAAATTATTTTCCGTATTTAAGTTACAAATCAAATACCGTTCAAGAAAACTACTAAATAACAAACAAACACTGTTCAGTCACAATATTTATGCCGCATGAATTCCGTGGGAATATTTTAAAAATATTTTCTCAAAGCTTCCTTGTTATTATTCCCAAAGATATCGGGGAATCAGAGCAAAGCGGGATGTTAACTAAGCGCCTTTAGAAATAGCAGGGGAAACCTTAGTAAATCAGATTTAAGTGCTGTAGTGTATCGTTTACGACTGTACGACTAGGAGAACAGATTTATGTAACAAACTTTTGCATACCAAAAAAAAGGAATGAAGAAAATGTTCAATAAAATTAATTTTTTTTTTCTATAGACGACTAAGGAAATGAAAAATGGTTCTTTAAAATGGTTAAAAAAGTTCACACCTCTACCAGGATAACAATAAACTAGTTTATTGTTATCCTGGTAGAGGTGTGAACTTTTGACACCTCTAGAGGTGTCGTGTTGTTAAGATCCGTATATACAAGATGTTCCTAGCCCGCCATCGAAATAATATGTACTACTAGTACATTATACTCCATATCTTAATGTAATAAGCACAAATTAATCCTTGATATTTTTATCATTATATTATTTATTACTTTATATTTATTTATTTACATAGCAATCTTTTATAATCTTAATAAAAACCCCGTTTCCGGGATCATGACGCTCAACCGATATTTATTTAAATTTTGTAAATGTACGAGTATATTGCTTGCTCGAACTCGAAATACAGGATTAGTTTTTGTCCCGATAAGCGACCCTCAATATTTATAATTGCGGTTTTTTTTTATTAGAACAACAGGTCGGAAAGGGCAGTACAACGTCTGCTTGGCCAGGTATTTTTATAATATAATCTAAAAACCCATTTTAATTATGACACTCGGGCTTAAGATTTCAAGTAGCCTTTTGTAAAAACTAAAAATACATTACCATGGTAAAAAAATCAGCAAAATACGTTAAGGACTGACTGAGTTTCTCATTTTTAGAATTCAGTTTAGAAGTAAACGAGAGTTGAGATTAGCACGAATAAGTCATACAATTCTTGCGCACACTCTTCGAAATGTGCCCTGTAAAACACCGAAACACTGGCTAATTTGCACCTGGCTCGAGACTGATATGGTGGTAAGATTCACCACGTACTCGATGGCGAACGGAATACCTGCATGAATGAGAAGTAAAAGATATCGAGGAAATTTTGAAAGCACGCACTGTGGGGCAATGCGGTGGACTATCATTTTCATCATCTTTACAGTCTTTACACAGTTACTGCTGGCAATAGGCCTCTTCACAATATAAAGTATTTGGGAGATTTTGACGAAAACTTGAGACAGCACACAGTCGATGGTGATAGTAGTTCAAAGGTCCTAAAGCACACACATATTTTGAAATTCACGTCACCATCAGAGCACTTGCAGGTAACAGCAGTAACATTAGGCACCCACCTGCTACGACTGTCTCGGCGCGTGGCAACCGCTGCAGTACGTGGTGTATGAGGCCCACGTCGGTGCAGGCCTGCAGGTTGCGCACGCTCTTGCGCAGAATCGCGATGAACACCGACCATATCTCTGCCTGCAATCAAACATAACCAGTTCAGAAAGGAAAACAAAACAAAGAAATTTCATTCACATATACGACGGGCAGGGAGAGTAATATTTTTTTACATGAGGTGTCAATGAAATTTCAAGGCAATTTTACAGTTTCAAGACAATTTTTATTATTTTTATTATATCTTAAACTTGAGTATTGTCTTGTATCTTACGCCGATGTTACTTAAGAGTCAACCGGCATTTGAATGCTACAGGAAATATTGATTGACTCAAAAACGTAGGAAGAATGTACATACATTGCATTTAAATAAGAAATATTAGAAAGTTGAGCGTTATAATCTAGAATTGGTTATTTTCTTTTCTTAGCAAAATAGTTGTTTTCTTCGTATTTATTCTTGATTATTTTTCTTACATAATTTCACAAATGCTTTCTAAGTTCATCACTGGAATTTCTTTGTAAGTTGTAGATTCTAAGAACTAAAACAACAACAATAGTCAATTAGTACATCAGGACAGTTGGTAAAATTCTAGCAAGATTTTTTTTTACCCGGTAAAGCCACGCTGCAGCTATGCTAGCTATAATTGGACCAATAGTCACTATACCTGCGTGAAAGTCTAGCTAATGTCTATATTTAACAGCAGAGTCGTGTTGTTGTATTAGTATGTGTTGTAGTACCTATTTCATTGCATGAATCTGAATGACAGGGTGAGAAATTTTGTAATAAGAGATAAGTGTAGTTTGCAAGATGATGTTATGACCTGGATTAAGAATGCTTCGGTGATTTGGTCATGTAGAAAGAATGAACGAGAGAACAGTTACAAAGCAATTTTATTTATTTATTATTTTGCAGAAGTTAACAGCAGGCTCGGTAATGGAGGCCCAAGATGAAAGTTTATGGACCAAATTGGCGATATATTCAAAATAGGCCAGATTAAACGTACCCTTAACCGACGAGCACGTATACGTAGGTATAATATGGATGTCAAGGCGGCGAGAGAGCTGTGACAGGATCGTGTCAAATGGAAGTCCGTAGTGTCTGTCTACCTCTCTGGGTGATAGGCGTGAGTGTTGTATGTATCTTATCGGAATTACCAAAACATGCTGACCAATACAGACAGACTTTCTTTTCAGATTCGTCTTTAATACAGCTTTTTAAAAAGGTAATTAAAAAAAATTGCATTTAAGTCTCGGCGCGCACAGCGCAACTCATCCGCATTTCCTGCGTTAATTACTTAGACAGAAAGTTTCATTTGCCGAGCTTTCCATTTAAAACAGCCGCATTAGCGTTGGGGCTTGTGGAATGTTTTTAATAAATTTTGTTCTCACTAGTTTAGCGCTTGTTTTAGCTTAAAATAACAGCCATGCATTGTGTACTCCGGCCTTAATGTGGCATTTTTATGCTATGGAATATGAAATAAACTTTCTAAAAAAATATTCTTATAAAATATATTATCGATATATATATATATATATATATATATTTTTAATATTATCTACATGAGTGTTTTAAATCAGACGACTATTACAAAAAAAAAAATTAAAACCCATATTTTGTTTAGGTGTTGTAGAAAAATAAAACTATGAAAAAAATGTTCACGACGAAGCCCCGCCGGTCTTTCAAATTAAAAAAACGGATTCGCACGGTGCGTGTTGCGTTCTCGTAAGTACTAGGATAGCAGCCAAACGAAAGAGGTATAGAATGTCGCAAGGATAACCACGAAAGGTGGTTAAAAAGGGACAGCGGCGTGAGCATTTTGAAGTTTGTAGTTTTGGCGGGAACTTCATCGTCGGCGGAAGCCATTCCTGTATTATTATTTATTTAAATAATGGTTTGAAGTGATTTTTGTTTTTATCAAATGTAGGCTTTATATTTTAGCTCATAATGTATTTTTTTTATATTTTAATTTTATTTTATGCAAAAAATAAACAAAATCGAACTTAAAGCACTCGCGCCTGCCCCGACCAGTGCTCGCCGAGACATTTTCGAGTTTGTTCTTTGTTTATGTTTTTAATTCTAGGTAGGTAGGTTGACCTTGTGTTAAACCTTGTTTGTTTTAAATTCTCTGGCTTGAATGCTTTTTGCTGGAATTGCAAAATTTAGGTAGCATGTAAACTTTTTAACTTGTCGTTTTTATATTTATGCTTTATACGTAGGCTTTAATCGCGTATTTTATTTATTTTTGCTTTCTAAGCAATAGTTAATTTTAATAGCTCTCAGGCTTTAGCTAATGATGACGTCATAGAGTATAAAAATAAAAAAGTGATAATTTAGCCCACAAGTCAACTTTTGATATTCTAGCGTTACCGTTACAGCCTATTAAAGTCCACTGCTTAACACAGGCCTCCCCAATAGATTGCCTCATAGGGAGGATATTTGCCATAGTTGCCACTCGCCACGCTTGGCAAGCGGATTGGTATTCGCAGTTTATTTTTTATTTTTAGTCGTTATTAGGAAGACGCTGCTGCTCATCCCCTGATTTGTTTTCCTCTGTCATCTCTTACGACACCCATGGGATGATATTCTTATACCGCCATTGCACGGTTGATATTCGTCATAGATGACATAATATGATCTCAGACCAAAAAAGAAAGACAGACGGAGCGCTGTGTACATTTCAAGTGACGTATAAACCATGCTCAACTTCTTAACACGCCCTCACGCACGACATTATTCTTCTTTATAATTCAATTTCAACGCCGGGTGCAAATGATTTTAGTTGGATATTATGTGTAGGCTTAGAATAATTATTCTAAGTGTGTAGGTAGGTGAGTGCGTGTTTTTACGATAATATTGAAGTCGAAAATAGTTTTGACTTGGTTTTTCTTTATTGGTTGCATTGTGAATTCCAAATTCAAACTTTGTTATGATTTTGATGATGCCTTCGATCAAATTACGAGTAAAAGAACTATAAATCAAAATAATTGTAAAATATTCTCTATACCGTACAGTACTTTAAAGAGTACTACTGTAGCATAAAATACAACGTAAATATTTTGTTTTTTTGCTATATTCGTGCTACAACTATACTATTAATATAGCTGCAGCACGGCTCTACCAATGTTAATGTTTGATTAGCATAATCGTTTATAAACAAAGACGTTGACTTTTGACAACTTGACAAGCAAGATAACTAAATTTTGGCCTCACATTTTTAAGCCCTTCTTTATGACGCCATTTGGAGGTGAAGTTAATTTCATGATTTTTTAAATAAATGATATCCCCCTGTTTCGAAGGCCTCTAACTAGCAAAATAACATTAAGAAATGAACGCACCTGTAACGCAATTGAATTTTAAATGCATACCTTTGCATATATCAAAGATATAGAGCAAATACAATGTAAATTTATTAAGGCATTAAATCATTATAAACAACATAAAAAAGCAATTATTTTTTAACGTAGAGCCATGCTACAGCTATTAGTAGTATAGTTGTAACACGAATGGATCGACTCGACCGGGGAAGCACCACGTTCTCACAAAATACCAGCGTAAAATAGCAGTTTAACGCTGCTATGTTTCCTATGGTGAGTTTAGAGAACCGGAGACTTTTTATTGGAAACGAAGCATTCCTTCTTAGTCCTCATGGGTGCTAACGCATCTGTATTTTGATTCGTAATCGAGGATAGATGTAGAGGGCTATGCGCCACAGTAACCATTTAACATCAGGTGGATTGTGTGCTCGTTTGTCACCCATATCCTATTAAAAAACGTTACAAGGAATCTTGAGATCACCATAACTTATTGCCGTTAAGACCGACGTACATATCTACAAATTTTGTTTCTGCACGACGTCTGTAGTAATAAAATTAATAGTCCTGAATTGACATTTCAATCCCTACAATTAATACTCCTCTATTTCACATCACATCTCTATTTCATGTTCCGTTAAGTCGATCTAAATATGCTCAAAATTCTGTCATTAGTCGTACACTTAACTGCTATAACAAAAAAATTTCATCTATCGATATTTTTCACGACAATAAAGCTTCCATAAAAAAAAAAAATAATCTCTAATTTAATTCTTCCTGAATATATTCATATCGTTCATATTGTTCTACATAATGTACTTATAAATTTTTTTAACAATAAAAGTATGTATAGAAACTCGTAATCAATTCCAAGTAAAATTATTTACGCACTACAGGTTGTACGTTATTATAAAAATTAGCAAACAAAATAAATAAAAACAGAAAATGAAAATTTCAGAAGTTGTTAAAGATACTGGAGTACAAAATTAGGTACATAATTATTTCAACACAATTTTAGTAAGATTAAAAAAATATCAACGTTAAACTTAAGCTTTCTTTCAGATTTTTTCGAACATCAAATAGCCTTGTTGGGTATTTGTCGCTCCAGGCTGCAAGAGTAAATAATGCCCCTACCTCCCTCCCCCTCCCCTCCCATCATATCACAAGTATCTTAAAAACATTAACAAAATCCTATGATGGATTTAGTCCTGAGCTAGCTTAACTGTGTTTCTGGAGATAGTTCCTCTCCTTTAAGTGTGTCAATAGAAAGGTAACTTTCTCACTAATAATAAAAAAGTTAATTAGTCAGTTAAACAAATCAAATATGAAATAGGTAAGACTTCCTATCTTTGTATTAAAAATTGATTAAACTGTTATTTAATTAAAACGAATTTATATTCTATATTCAGAAATATCAATGCTGACTTTGCTTTGCCAAAATGCCATACCATAGAATTCACACAATTTTTGGAATTAATTTTAATTAAAAAAGATAAGAGAACTTTAAAAATTAAATAAAACGTGAATAATATAGATTTTTAAATTATCAATCATTTTAGTCAATTTTAAAAGTAGATTTTAAATGTATTTGTGACACAAAAACAAATTAGAACGTGGAATGTGCTGATAGGATATCGAACATTAATAATGTGCTTTTAGATGTAGTTTATTTCTCACAACTAATGAGATAATAGTCTCTGAATAACGAAGAAAAACGCACTATCGCAAGGTTTTGGTCGCGGTATTGCTTTAAGGCAAAATGCAAACAAACT